GGTACTGATAAGAAAACAATGTGAGTGTCAAACACAAATATGACAGGCGTAAAAGTGCCCCCTCCAAAAAAGCTACGAAATAAAAAGTAACACAATTGATCTTCTTTCCTCTTATTTAGCTGCAAGCAGCACTCGCTAAGCAGGGTGTGACTGACTTCAAACTGAAATGGACGAAACAGCCTGTGCAGAAGAGCAGGAAGAAAACTGATGGTACACACACACACACACACACACACACACACACACACACACACACACACACACACACACACACACACACACACAATAAGACTTTCTCTGAATATTTAAATGGGTTTGTCTCATTTCAGATGCTTGTTTGAATGTGTGAGATCAAGTCCCAGAAGACTGTGCTACAACACTGTTCATTCAAAGAGGGATCACTTTAAATTGTTCACTCTTCAAGTTGTTATTAGTTAATTATATTAGTCCAGGTATGAAACTGCATGATTTGTGTGCATAAAGTCTGAATTGTAAACATTTAACTCTTTACCATTTTAGTTTTGCATTTAAAGTTAGTATGTTTGACACCACATGTGTAACTTTGAAGTAATACATCAGGGATAAATTTTCATTCCCCCAAGGCATCAAATAATGCTGTTTTGTTAAAGCTGTTGGCGTATGTCAGTTGTTCACAAAGTGCCCTTTTAGAGAAATGTGACACGCCTGATTAGTGGATTACTGAGACTTGGTTATCAGTCCCAACCTTTCAGCATGTATGGTTCCATACAGTTGTGAGGGTAGAAATTTAGATCATCAGGTAAACTGACAGCTTTGTTTTCACATTATTCTCTCCTCATAGCAACAGAGTCCACATCTCTGTAGATGCAGCACCAGTACATCTGTCAATTTCCAGCTCCACTCTCCCCGCAGTTGTTAAAAACCCCAGTGCTCCATTTAAATTCTCCAGTCACACTGAATATTGATGTCATTATTTTTTCCATAGTTAACAATGTTGTTACTTATCCTCATGAAAACATAAATAGGTTATCAGGTCTGAGTTAAAATGGATTCTTTACACACTAAGATGATTATTCATCTTGAATCTTCCTTACTGTAAAATCCTATTAAAAATTCAAAATGACCTGATAGCACTGATTCCTCTGTGGCAAAATGGATTGAAATAATCAAAAATATTAGCCCCACCTTTCACTGATGTATTTGGTTTTTATCTATTACATTCATATATCCAGTGTAGTTATTTATACACTTAGTCTAAAGTCCCCAGTCAGAACTGGTTGTGTATAACGGCAAAAAGTTGCTGGATCAACTGGTTCTTTGGACTGTTGTTAAAAGAAGGTGGCATGCTACACAGTAGCAAACATGCCATATGCTAACTTTTTTGAGATGTGTCATAATTTTTCATGAAAGAGTGACGTGTCTCAGTTTAAACATTTGATGTGTTTCTATGTTCTGTTGTGAATAAAATATGAGTTTATTACACTGCAAATAATTGAATTTTGTTTTTATTTACCTATTTTAAATTGGGGGTCCTTCAATACATGCAAATTAAAGTGAAATGTTTGATGAAAAGGCTACAAGTGAAGGTTTGCCACTGATTAAATTTATTTTGGTAAAAGTAAATGTTTACAGGTTAAACTTATATATTATATCAGCACCAGGTACAAATGACTGCGTACCTTTTCCAGCCCCGAACAGGATAAGCAGTTAATTCAATGGATGGATGGATGTGAGTTACATAAACTAAAACATTCATTTATGATCCAAAATGTTTTACTCACACTTGGAAAAATATCAATCAATCAGACCCCAGGAGTCTGTTATTTTTAAAAGACTTGAGTAACCTTTAAGAGCTATTCATGCTGAGGATTAATACTTAGATTTTTACCTTTACTGTTTCACAAAGGTTAAAAAGGGAATGTCGACAATCTAGACTTTATTGCAGGATATTTTAATAAAGAACTTTAACAGGAGCAGAGCAAAAGCAGTACGAACTGATATTAATCACAAAATAATAATCAAATCACCTGAAACTATACTTATCTAATCTAACCTCTAACCTCATGCTGACCTTGTTGTGATCTTTTGCAAGAGGGCTTGAGAAGAGAATGAGCATGTCTTGCTCAACAATATTCTTATATCTTTCATGTAGGTCACCACCGCCAGGCCCTGTCATGGCCTGGGCTTCATTTTGGTCTGTGGCTTCTAATGAATCCAGAAAAGTACAGTCAGATTTTCATCCACAAGAGGAAAACATCTATAAAGCACCAGATTGGCAGCAACTTCATTTTTCACAATGACAAAGATCCGAAACACAATGCCAAAAGACTACCTGGATAGAAAACAATCACCATGGATCACCATTACTAGCCTCCCAAGAGCCTGAACCTCAACATTATTAAAGCAGTGTGGGGTGGAGAAAAGAACTAAAGACATCCAACATTCAAAGAAAAACTTTGAATGTCCTTCAAGAAGCCTGGAGAACTATTCCGAAAGACTACTTAAAGAAAACTAAAGAAAGCTGGTAAAGAGAGTTCAGGCTGTTTTGAAGAGTAAAAATTTTGACTTTTAAGAAACTAAAAATAAATACGCTTGAACACAAAGTACAATATTTTCATTGAAAATACAGTTGAATGGACATAGAAAGCAGCATGATAGAAATATAAATGTGCATACATATACAGGTGCAAACAACCTGTACTTTAGCAAAGTAACTGACTAAATTCACAATTATATTCCACCACTGCCCCTAACCATGCTTTGGCACATTTAAATTTATTATTATTTATTATAAATTAATTTATTAACTATTAATATTAACTGTACTCTAAACCAGTGGAGGAAGCTGCCATGTTTTGGGGGTAATTGCCCTGGTGCAAGAAATATTAATCATTAGGCACTTTATAATTCAACATCCCTTCAACATCTGGATGTAATTAAAGTTCCAAACTTGTGATGCTCAGTGAGAAATATACAAAATTTAGCAAAAAGCT